CCCCAATCCCTCCCTCCCCCATGCCCCTTTCCTCCCCCCTCCTCCAACCCCAACAGACTTGCCAGCTGGAGACAGCTGTGGCAGCTGCCTGTTTAGGCTATGGCTGAATTGCCAAATCTTTTCTGAATCTTTTTCCAAATCGATCCAGATCCTTCAAATTGATTTGGAGCTTTTAATTGGTCTCCCAATTTGATTCGGATTCAGAGATCTGGTGCCTGAATCAATCAGGCCAAATCTCCTCCGAGTTGAATCAACTACTGAAGCTTTGTACAGCCCTACCATTCACTTCCTAATATATTAGTAAGTGCAGGGCTGCACCCGCTGTGGCAAAGACTCCCTGGGGTGGTGGGGAGCACAATTTTGATGGCCTCCTGTCTCCCAGCTACACTGGTGAGTGTAGTGCTGCCCTACCCAGCTACTTTGGCTGAGTACGGACAATGCAGGGCTGCAGATGCCATAGCAAAGATTCCTGAGGTTGGGGGCAACTCCAGCACTCCCTAGTCAGGCCCAGGCCTGGTACCCCACTTGCCTTGTCCTAGTTACACTACTGGAAAATAACGTAATTACTACAGATAACTGACCAAATGAATTTAAGCTCTGCTGATGCAGGCGAAGCCTTTGGCAATTTGTAACAATCCTGCAACCATAGCCACTTTTAAATTAACTTAAAAGAGTACTGCAGTATGAAGGTAATACAGCTAACTGCAAAGAACAGTAAATCACTTAATAATGTAACTGATAATTCTAATGGAAAGATAGAAGATACTGCCACGGCCTTTTAAAAATACCTGTGCAATTGTTAATTCTACCAGGTCTTTATTTAAAAACCTTTACTTTGGGGTTCATGGATCTGTAGTGCCCTTTAATAATTTTAAATGTCTTGTGCCTCCTGGTGATGACAACAATAATTCACTTTAAGAAAGAATCCTTGATAATTTAACCATGACACAGTTAATCTATAGACCCATGGAAAATGTCCTGACTTCTTTATATAATCAAACCCAGTTTCCTAACTGGGACTTCCCCCAAAGATGCTCTCATCAACACCCCCCATACTATCTTAAGGTATAGAAATATTGTAACATTGTGCCTGGGTTTGACAGAAAGTTCCTGAATGTGTTGGTGGATTGGCAGGAGTTATTGTGCTCCTTTGACTCACTGGCTGCCTGAGTTAAAATGTGTGATTCTTGATGATTGAGTTGTGCCTCCAGTGGGCTGTCAGAATGACTTTATGGTTTATCCATGATTTCTTACTGCTGCCAGAAGATCATTAATGTGAAGGAGTGATACTAGCTGTCAGGATCCCAAAGCTTCTTATGAGCATTTCCCCCTCCCCTATTGTTTGAATTTAAAGAAACAAGTAATTCACTGAAATTTGACAGAACAAACCTTTCAACTTCTTTCCTCTCCCCACCAAAAGCTGCCACAGTTCTGATGGATGAGAGCACTTCATCAGCCACAGCCCCAGCTTTTGCATAGGCATTTAACTCTCGGCTTGTCAGTTTGGCTACAGCCTAGAAGCCAAAAAAGATGTTGCTAGCAAAAAAAAGGTATTCTGCCCCAATTTTGGTGTTTATACTACAGTACTAACACAGTCAATGAGCACACCTCACCATCACACAGAATGGCTAGTACTGCATACCTCCCAAACAGGCTTGGAGCAGATTTTTATCACACACTTACTTGTTTCAGAATTGTCACCCTTGTACCACTAGGACATAAACCCCTTCTCACACGAGGTCTTGACACACAAATGCATTAAGACAGCTACCCTGTTCCAAGTGTAATTAAATGTAGAGAGAAACTAACAACAACCTGTTTCACAGTCCCCTCCCCTCATTGCACCTAAATGGGCATGGAGAAGGGTTAAGCAGCAAGGGAAGGAATCACAGAAGTTCCCAGCTGGAAGGAGAGGTGAGCAGCTGCAAAGCCAAAGTGCTTCCTAGTCTCCACTCACTGAGTTGACAGTCAGGAGTGAAGAAAAGCAGTAAACAGCTATGTGACAGTACCCCTCCTGCCCACCTAACCATCCTGCTCCTTTGCCAACAGTGTAACTACAGAGACAGCTTAGAAGGAGGTCTTAGCATTCCCCTCCCTTTTTGGTTGCATGTAGCAATCCGTAGCAAAGCCAGATCCAAAAAAAAGGGGCTCAAGCACCGAACATGGCAGAATTTAGGTGCCTTAGTTCACAATTGCAGCCTTCAAACCAGCTGCACCTCCCACCTTCCCAACTGAGTAGTTTACACTAAGCAGTCACTGGATACAATGTAGTCATGAGAGTAGGGACCTGAATCCAGGACTCTCTCTCCCAGCCATGTTTCAACCACACAGTCATTATCCTTCACCCTCTTCCTCTTCCCCCCACACCCCAAC